TGGACAGGGTTTGGCATAGCTCTTTGACTGTACTGTCTTTCGGTATGGAAATATCCAAAGTTTCAGGCCTATCATTGATTTTCTTCAAAATCAAGTCCAATTCATCAATGGATTTAAGAATCTCAAGCTCTTGGTTTCGCTGCTTTTCAATACATTCTTTGCTCACACCAGGAACAACCGATTTAATCGAACTAATTTTCTGCTTTAAACTTTCGTTGAGGGAAAATAGGAGGGTTTTTTCCTTTATTAAATGCTCGAGCACTTTTGTATCAACCATACTTTTTCTTAACTCTTCCAGATGTTTAGACAGTTTCAAAACGTTTTGTTGAAGTCTTTGATTTTCCACATAGAGGAACGACTGGTTTTCAAGTAGCTGTTTATTTACCGTTTCTGATAATGGTTCTCTGGCACCTTCGGTAGTCATTGTTGAATTATCACTGGAAATTTGCTTTGATGAAATGGGAAATTAATGTTTGACAAGCAAAGACCGGTAGTTCAAACGTGATCTAGATGTACCTTCATAATGCGACAATCGGGGTATATAGGTGATAAAAACGTAACCATCTCAATGGATTTATTATGCATATGAACTGGGGCAGGATTAAGTTCCGAAAGGCGCATAGAAAAACTGTAACATTATATTCAATGAAACTAGTTTCGTATATAGTGTGTATATAATTTAAACGATTTTTATACCCTCCATATAATTTAAGGCCAATCGCTTTGGACAATCACATCCTCAAGGGCGTTAAAAAAGAAGTAAACCATAAGTACCTTGGGAGATATCGTCCAAAGAAAAAGAATCGTCAACCTTTGCCTTTGCCTTTGCACAAGAAACCACTCCAAAAGCTCCAATCAAAAAAAGTTGCAATCAGTGAATATCAGTCTAACATTAAAGGTCAATATTTTTTAAATTGTAAAAGCATACTAAACATAACAAAAACAGGTAAAAATAAAACCAAAATAAAAATAAATTTTTGAATTGGTCCGCCTACACTGTGAATGACCAGTTCGAACAAGTGAAAACGCTTGCAGCAGGACTAGAAACATTATATCCTATATTTAACTAATTTTCCACTATGGCGTTGCTACTTTATCGCCATCATGGTCGACTGGTTTAAGTACATACTTCGAACTTAGATACTAAAAAAAGTCGTTTTATAAATTTTAACTAAAAAACTGTAATAGAGATTCGAAAAAATCAAAATCATGATTTTGTTTGCAGAAATGAGAGAATCAAAGTAATTAATTAAATGTTTTTTAGAAATGTTCATTGGCTCACAAAACTGTACGCACTTTAACAAATATGGAAATCTACTTAAAAAATCAAGACATTTTCACAATATTGCCTTTTAAAAATTTTATTAATTATATACTTATTACGTTTATTGATCGTGTTGCTAAAGTTAAATCGCATTTGCTAAAAGGCCTTGCAAAAGGAATAGCAAGTCGTTAACTCCTAAACTAATAACAATTTGATTGGTTTTCCTCTCACAATAATTATCGTCTTTGGTTGGCTTCTAACACTGCTGTTTATTGAACACATTTTTATGGTCATTGATTATAATTTCTTGTTAAGAAATAAACTGAAACAGAAATTTCATTATTGCTACCACAGGATTGAACATAACAGTCCATATTTAACAACTTCGATATGAATTCATGCTTTTTCATTTACATTTCATAGTTTCTGTAAATACCTATTCAGTTGAATAAAATATTGGATTTTTCCTACCACTCATTTAATGAGATACTTTGTGGCTATCATTATAGTTATTAATCACTACTATTTTATCATTTTATATATTTAATGTTTTTTTCTTTAAAATGTAATTAAGTTGACATTGATTTCTCACTGCTAAGATTAAATAATATTAATATAATACTATGTTGCCGAAAACGTTTAATCAATATCTGCACTTGTGTCTAATTTATTATTAATTAATTAAAATGGAATCCATGTTTACTTAGATCGCTAAAGTGCCACAGAACTCATGTTACTAAGTAGGCTTTTTAAATAATGTGTCGAAAATTTTATCCGAATATTAAATCAATTTAATATCAAGGATTCTTAGTAACTAAGCGGTCAGCAAACATTTTTATCTGTGCATACTTACAAAGTGTTTGGTTTGTCAACGTCTACTTAAAAAGGCGACAAATGAGATTATAGAATTTTTATTTGCTCTCAGATTAATATTAATGCCAATCTAATCAATAACATTTCCAAATTTCCCTGAAGAGTGTAAAACATACGCCCGCACTACCTTTTTGGTTTGTAACATTTCTCAGGTTCTGAATTAAAATCAATCAATTTTCGTAAACTTTCTAAATTATCCTCTTAGATCCTTTTGTTTAAATTCACTTTGATTTACATCTTTTCACAAAAAATAATTTTATTTTGCGATTGGTATTTCCTTCAGCAACAACCTGGAAAACGTACCTATGCAAAATTATTTATAACAAAAGTTACAGATGGTCTGCTTTCATCTCAACACTTTCTAAAATTGTTTTTCCATTAAAAGTCTTACGCTGGTAAAATCCGCTGCAGCCGCCTAATTCTATTATCTCATTTCCTCTTATTATTTCTCTCAAAGGAACAAAATGTTTGATTTAAATAAACGATTTTGCTAATTGTCAAACGTTTTTAAGAATTAATATAAGGAATCTTAATAAAACGTTACTTAATTAGCTTTTATTAAAATTCCTTATATTAATTCTTAAAAACGTTTGACAATTAGCAAAATCGTTTATTTAAATCAAACATTTTGTTCCTTTGAGAGAAATAATGTTCATTCAAAAATTAAAAAAACTCAATAAATAAAAAACATGCTTGTAAGTCTATTTAAACGTAAAGAAACATTTTGCCAAAGCCATATTTCATGTAACAATTTCCGGTAAACTGTTATTAATTATTTAAACTGTTTGCTCTAAATATTACGACTTAAAAAGCAAATAAATTGTAGAAAGATGTTACCTAAAACTCCTTAGTTTCCAGTTTCCAGCGTTCTAATAAATGTACAATATTATGTATCATATACATATCTATCCTCAATTGACGACAATTATTATATTTTGTTGCAAATAACAGTTTTTTTTTAACAGTCGGCAAGAGGATACAGTATATTTTATCTCCAGTTGGGTCACCTTTGCGGGGTTTATAGGCCCCCGGAGACTACAATCTATGCGACTACGTATAAACAATATAATTATGAAGACATAAACATGCTAATCGGGCACTCAAAATACTTTACGTTCAAGATACTTATTATCCGTTGTTTGGGTTAAAAGATAAATTTGTATTATTTCTTTAAATGTTAATTAATTTGGAGTTTAATTAATGTTTTCGAATTTTTCCATAATTGAAAATGTTCACTTTGGTAAATGGTAAATTACATATAAACACAATCATGTAATTGTTTGGAAATTTGAATGTCAATTACTCGTTTTTGCATGTGTAAATGCAAAATTTGGACAAGCACTATTTCTTATATAGGTACTTAAATAGTTTTCGAAATATATTTGTCATGAAAACTCGGAAACTTCTTTAGTCAACATGAAAAGAAAGATAAAATGGAAACTGTTGGATCTCTGCCAGCAAATCAACATAAATTTTTTTAACCTGAAAATTGGTGAATCCTTTCAGGAAAAACGAAATAAATCAAATTCATACAAAGCAACATCCAGTGAAAACATCTTCCATAACGAATATTAATTGGACAAATTAAGTAGCATTCGAGTTGCAACTTTGTCAGAATGATGCAAGTTTGATTTTCAATTTCATCAGACTATTTCTTTTTGGAGAACTGCACAAATGAAACATTCAGTTAGTTAGCTGTGAAAGTTATTGTCGAGACTCGGAGCCTTTTTAGCTTACCTGGAAGCTCGCAATTCGAAATTGAGCGCGTTTTCGCGTTTGGAAGAACATTAGATTCAAAACGTGCTCGTTTATGTGGGTGTTTATCAGTTCAACTTCTCCCGGAATTTGTATATTTTAAAGTAATTATTAGCTACCAATGTGCTTTGACTACTCTGAAAGGTGTCTAAAGGGTACAACTAAACTAGCTATAAAACGCACTTTAAAATTGTATATGGTCATTCGGTTTATTTAAGCGAAACCACCAATTTTGGAAATTTATCGAAAAATATACAGGGTTATTAAACTGTGTATATGCATTACTCGCATAAAATATATGTGCATCACTTGCAACTTTTGTTAAGAAATAAGCATAAATAAAAGAGTTTAAAGTAGGAAACTAGTAACATTTTGGAAGTTGGAAGAATATTGTTACCCTGTATACTATTTTATTATGTTTTGCAGACAAACATGTTTAAATGAACTTTTTTGATGATAAACGTTAATTTGTCTAGACCAATAATAATAACACCTTGTTTTGCTTCAGAATTATACTGAAAAAAATATAAATAAAAACTAAACACCCGTATATTAAAATTTGCTAAAGTGTAGGATTCCAAATCTACCAGTATTTTAAAACGAGTTCTTCGAACGAATTAAACTTGTCAGTTTCCTTGGTTCTATTGCTGAAAAGTTTAATGCTACTAGAAAAAGTTTCATAATCATGCATTTTAAGTATGCGCTTAGGTATTGCATAATTAGTTGCTCTTATTCTTAAAGTAGTCCTTAGATAAAATGTGTACACATTCATACATGTAAACTGCAATAACAGTGACAGTCAATTTGTTTAAATTTAACTCGGAACATTTTTAAGTCCATAATCCATAATTCCACTTTTGTCTATAGCCTTCCCTCGTCCTCGGAGTTCCCGGATTGTTCAATTTCTCACCCAATTTCTCGCTGTTTTATGCAGAATATTAGATAAACGTGCAACAAAATTTCAAGGGGTCATTCTTTGGCCTATTTTAAGAATATTTTGTTCTATATCAATTTTCGAAAAACCTCGTTGTTTCCAAGATGCAAGGTGAACAAAATTTGAGACCGTAACAACACTTCATTACCAGAAAGTACATTATATTCTTGTTTGTAAAGTTCACTTTCTAAATTTATTTTTATTTGCGAAATTACTGATATATAACTATACAGCGTGGATACATGCATTCATTTTTTTGCCATTGACGGTCGAACTTTTTCAGACATACCAGGATAGTTTCTCATTGAGTTACAGCGAAATTGTCCGATTTTACAAGTCGTCTAAATTATCCTCTGGCGTATAGGTTTCAATACACCTTGTATATTTTTTCTTAATTTCACTTTTCTAACTATTCCGTATTACTTTTCTTGGAGCTCCGTCAAAACATTTTCGAATCTCTATAGGTCCTAGGTATACCTTCTTATTTTATATACGTTTCTCCTCTGCTATCTATTTTAATGTGAACACATCTGAATACACACCCACTCCTGCAATCGGTTATTAACTATTTTTCTCAATTTTTTAGTTTTCCTTTCCTTCAAATTCTTTTTAATTTTTTTAATGCTACATCGAGGAATGTTCATCCTCTGCTAAGTTGAGCTGCTCTGCAAAAGTTGACTATTCTAAAGCCTGTTATTTTCCGAAAAAAAACTTATTGGAGGAAGGTTTCCATTAGAACTACTTTAAATTCAGTTTTTTTAATAAGCATTTTAAAAACACTTTGTATTATTCTCGTTTTAGTTCTTATCGAATTTTTCCAAAAATTTACTTTGTGGTTTTCATCTTTATTGGTTTGAATTTCTTTCCATTAACAGCAATATGAGATTTAGAAAATAGTTATTACCATTGACTAATTGTTACTGGTCGTAGGGCAATGTGATCCTACTATTTTTTTGGTGTCATATGTTGTATTTTTTATATAATGCCAGTACCTATATTTTCTTTCATCTCTTCTTTGCGTCTTATTATCTAGGTAGGTATAGTTCTTTCGTAAGAAGAACGTTTGAAGTGGGAATATTAAGAGCGCTCTGAATCTCTCCAGCATCAAGTCATAATCCTCTATTGCTTCTCCAATAAGAAAAAAGTCGATTAAGTTTTTGAAATAAAAATACCGTAAAAACCATTTTTATACTAACAACCAGTTTTCAGTAAAAAGAAAACTTTTTAAATTAAAAAAAAAATTACTTTAAATTTATACTTTGTGGAATACCTTGTTTGGGTTTATAATCGTTTCTTATTTGGAATTTTTACGAAACATATGTATTTTATATTTTTTTAAATTGCATTAAATATGTTTGAGTTAATAAATGCCATCAGTAGGTTTAAACTTAGATCTCGGGCATTATACAATACTTTTCAGCATTAGGACGTTACATTTAGACTAGTACCATGAGGAAGAAATCTTACGTTTCAAATAGTTACTCCAGTCACCGAAAGATGTGCCTGGTACCATACAAACTAGCAAATTCTACTAAATAATATACATAGGAAACAGCAGATACTGATAATCCACTTCACATTAATGAAATATATTTAACTATCAGTATTAAACATCAGTGTTTTTTTGACTGTCGCTGACTGAAAATGGCTTCCAAAGTACTTAAGGTGAAACTGAACAATGGACTAGAAGTACCAATCTTCGGTTTGGGAACATGGAAGGTAAGTGATTATTGATTTACTGGGTCTCTATGGCTTGTAGCGGCTGCTGATTACGATGTGACCGCAGAGGTCGATACTTATCACTGCATTCACTGTAATGTACAGTGCCTTTATACATGTTTTAACAGAAGTTTTCTGCAAACTGAATATAAGTTTGCAGAACATTTTACTGAAATTAAGAAATTAAGAGGCGAAATAAATAATGCCTGGTCTAGCTTATCTGGTTGGAAATAATTCAATGAACAAAGGTTCATACAATGCGGATATGTCTGCCTACTTCTTGATGTCTTTTAGACTATGCGGAACTGAAAGTTTATAGAGGGTGGCATTTTGTAAGCGATCAATATACTACAATTCTTTGCACAAAAACACTTGATGTTGAAAAACACTTGAAAGTGTTTTGACGACATCAAGGGGAAATCAAAATAACTCAATTTTCTACAGCGGTTGATTTTGATCCCCCAGGGGTAAGTGACAACGGCAAAAGTCAGGTGATGCCCGTTTTAGAGATCTTTATGTACTCATTTAATAAAACTTAAATAATAGCGGCTTGCGAAAATTGCTTGCTACTCGAACTTTATTATATAAGGCATGCAATAATCTACATATTAAGACAAAAATATTTTCTCCTAATTTGGAGAAAAACTGGCCTTTCTCATTTAAAGATAGCTTCTGGGGGCTCGATGGGGGGCAACTATACTTTTAGTTTATCGATTTTCGTTAAAAAATCGGAATAAAATTGACCCTTTTGTTCAAGAAAAAGCCATATGAAATAAAGGTTTTTCTTAAATAGAGTTTTAAGGGAGATAATTTATTTGTCTAAAACTTTTTGTAATTATGTAGGTAGATACAGCAATCCTAAAAAATATTCTATGAGTTACTATTAAAATTCGGTTAATTAAATATATTTGAAAATTCGTCAAATGGCAAAATAGTGAAAGTAGTAACAATTATCAGACTCCTCTACTGATAAATAAATTATCTTATTATGGCTTACGTAAATTGATAGAAAACATTTGTTTAAGTGCTAAGAAAACAAATCACCGTACTAGAGTTATTTAATTTGGAAACCTAAAACTACGTAGATTATGTTATCTATAGATATGTTATTACATGCAATATTATTTAAGTACAAATTTTGACACGAACGTATTTTTATCGGTACTTGAACACTATTTTTGAGCCTACCGTACGTACACTTACATAGTTCACAAAACGTGATTCCAGGCACTTGAAACCTTCGTGGAAGATTTAATTACTTAGCCAAACTTCAGGAGGTCATTTTCTGAGGAATTTAAGTATTTTGTTTCTATATGCGTTGTAAAAACAAACATTGTGGATTCACATTAATCGACAAGAAATTAACACAACCACACTAGGTTGATGGAAATGAATTGGAATATTTAGCAAAAACAGATGACCACAAATCACATGTAAAAAAACATTATAGAAGTGATTTCGGAAGAATCAGTGACGAAAAGCAAGTGCAGCAATTCGAAGGAGAAAACCTCTCAAACGGCAAAAAGTTACGAAACTTATTAAAATAAAGGCGTCCAAATAGAAGCAGAAAAAAGCTTTGCAAGCCGAACGACACTCAACGAAAAATAAAAATGGAGTTTTGCACAAATTAGTGCAAATGCAGCCAACGGAACACGCGGGAAATGCAATCAGCGCAAAGATGAACCTGCTAGTGCGCTGTAAACCGAAATATCTGTAAAAATTGACCAGTTTTGTGTGGTTTTTAAAAAGTTCACATTTTCAATTGTCGCTGTCTACTTTAATATGTTCTCAAACACCCTGCATATGAATATTAACAGGCTTCTTGGGACAAAAACTATCCATCCACGCAAGGCGCACACAAAAAAAAATAAATTTTCGCTCAGAAAAATCAGAATAAATCATAAGATTATTGCATGCGCAATAATCCATGAAAACGGAAACGCGTAAGGGATTCGATTAACAAATTTATTCCACAGAGTACAAACTTAATATTTCTGCAAAAAAAATTGGTAGGTGCTAAGCTCGATATTTTGAGATAAAGTGTGAGTATACACCGATTTGAAAGCTATAAAAGATCGAAAGGCGTTAAAAATTGAGGAAGTAAAATATATGCTGTTATTAAAAAACGAAAAACTAAATTAATATAAAATAAAAAAGAAACCGTCACAAAAGTATACCGGTACAAAACTCAAATAGGAATTACAATTATGAGTTTTAAATTAGGTACTGTTTAACTTGTCTCTCATGTTTGGTTTTACCTTTTTGTCGGTTTTTTAATTTCATAATAATAGTGAAAACATTCCATACTTAAGACTGAAACTACTCTGTGTCCCTAGTAGAGAGCTAAATATGGCTAAAATTATAGCCGAAATTTGATGAAAAACCCAGTAGTACCAACGAAAACCTTTTTTTACAAATTACTATTACGGTCACTACCAAATTACAACCGAATTACTTTGTAATGGTTTTCTTTGAAACTTTTTAAGGAATTTTCTGGTCACTATAACCAAACCTGATATTTTCGTATTCGGCTAATATTTTTGAAAAATGGAGCAATTTTTAGATTGACTAAAAATAAAAATAAAAAAATCTCTTTCATAGCGAAACCAAGAGACTTAACACCATTTCAAGATTTTTTGTAAATGGCTGAAAAAAAAATAAGCATAAAATAAATAATAATGAAACACTTGAAACACCACGTGCATGTATAGAAAATACTGTACCTACTTATTTTCAAATGCTAATTTTTCGTTTATGTCAAAATCATTTTAGGACAGTTCGATCTTACGATTTCCTATTGTAGCTACATTTTTTTAATGCAGATATTTGTTAAACATCAACAAAATTAGAGGATCCGCATCGGAAGCACAAAATAAATTTGCCATTCCGTACTTTAACAAGTAGTAATATTAATTCTTAATTAAATTACTTTTCCACTCATTATTATTTTTCAAATAATGATAATGCTAATTAAATATGATATTGTTTACAACTACCAATCTGCGATTTTTTCATAGTTACATATTTTTTTAGCCTAAATATTGGCGATAATATTGGCTTCGACAGAATCTTCAGAAGTAGAACACAAGTTTGGCATATGTTTTAAAAAATAATATAGGAAACCGATGTTGCTGAGGATCTAAACAATCAATGCCTTTAAAAATTCGAGGAATCAGTTTATTTTCCAGATTTCATGGACAAAAACAAATCGTCATAAAAAATCACATTAAACAGACAAAACTTGATACCTAAACCAATATGCGCTTCAGTCATTTTTTTGTTTTGCTAGAACATTATTAAGAAGCAAAAATAATTTTACATTCAATAAATTGTCTAAAGCGCAAAATTGCCTGCAAACCAGCAATTAAAGTTTTTTGGAATTATAGGTAAGGAAGCCTTCGGAAAACTTTTCTCCCCTCGAAAGGCGCAAAAGCAATTAGTATCTACTATTCGATTTCACAAGTGTTATAATCGAATTCTATTTTATTCTCGTATGTTATAATCTGGCACTGAGCCATAATGTCAGGGGTTCTTTCCATTTATGGTACCTTAACTGATACTCCCCAAACAAGCTGCCGATGGGGGAAAATAAAACAACTCTAGCACATTTCTTGAAAAACATTCCATTAGTTTGTGCCCACATTTAGTTGCATTTATTCATGAACACCATGTATGCTCTATGTTATTATCATTAGCAGTACACAGTAAATAAATTAGTTAGAAAGAAATCTTTAAGTTAGATGCCAAAGTGAATGTGTTAAGCCCCACAATGTGAATTCCATGTGAAACTAGTTGCTTTATTCCACATAATAAATAACATATTAATAGTATATTTTTGTCACAAAATATTTTTATAATTGTAGCGGCCAGTTTACTGATTAGAAAAATCGGTTAGCAACCTCCCGAAAACAAATCTTCCCAAGCGACCATCCAAAGTAATTATTTTTTTCTAAACAACTCACTGATAAGGGGTGTTTGATGCAAGACGTTGCTCGCGTTTGCCGATAATTTATTCGTATAAATACCCCGTGAAGACTAACAGTTGGCATCAGTTGCAACCAGTTCTTCAGCTAAGGTAGTAAGCAGATCCAAACATGAAGTTAGCTTTGTTTTTTGCCTTTGTGGCTGCCGCTTCGGCTTTGCCATCACAAAACGTTGGACTTTTCAAAAAACTACCTGTCCTAGCTGATATTGGGCAGAAAGTTGACATCCAAGTTCCACAACAATATGAACTTCAAGGTAATATTTTCCAAGTAGCTGAATACGTTGCTTACCAATTCAGTCAGGCGCAAAAGCTCGGCTACACTGGCGAACAAGTTTCAAATTACCTGGTAGAACAGGGATTCCCTCAAGTAGTTGCCGAGTATCTTGCTCAACAGTATGAAGCTGGTTTGGACCAAACTTACTTCCAAACACCTTACCAAATGTTCAATTATTATTACAACTCCGGTGTTTCTCAAGAAGCTCAGAAATACCTTGCTGAACAAATCGCTCTGGCCTATCAGCTATATATCAACTACTTAGCTCAATATGGAGAAGGAGCCTACCAGCAGCAATATCCAGGAGTTCCCCAGACTATTTCCCAATACGTTCTCCAGCAAGGCAAATACTACAATCAAAATGGCGTAAGTTATTCAACTGTGCAATATTCTTCCGCGCAATTGCTGCAAGCTAAACAGTATGCTCAAATTGCCCTACAATACTTCGCCAAAGGACAAGTACAACAACAGGCTTACCAATCTGTATATGAGCAGTTAGCAAAGGCTGTAGAATTAGTGGAGAAAATTCAAACTTTGCCGGTTTCTTACCAGACCAAGCAGCAGTTTATTCCATACTATGCTGCCCAGTACTACTCTCAGTTTGTTCTACAAGTTTACCAATACTTGCAGAATGCTTACCAAAGCACTGTAAGCCAAAGTCAAGTTTTTCCGCAATACTTCGTCCAGCAAGTACAATTTGCTTATTTGGCTGCACATAAAGCATACCAAACATACCAATTCAAGCAAAGCAACTCAGGATTCCAGGGAACATTCAACACCAACTTAGCTGCAATCAACTCAAACCAATTTTATGGAAGTAACCAGATTTCTGGAAATACTGGCACTTTTCAAGTGGTACAGGCCGCTAAATCCCTTGTTCAATATGTTCAAGAGCTGACCGCACAAGGAGTCGTTTCCCAAGAGTTTGCCTACTACTTTATTGAGCAATTGAAATCGGTTGGCGTTTACCCAGGACAATACCAACAATTGATGCTGACTTTTGAGAATCTGTACCACTACGTACAGAACTCTAGCGTTCCTGTACAAGTTATGCAATATTTGAAACTGCAAATCCAGTCCGTTCTCCAAACTTTGCAACGTTACCAGTTCCAACCTCAGGCTCAATACAGCCCAGTACAAGGTTTGATCCAGAGTTATTTCAACAAGAACTACCAATATCCATCAAGCCAAAGCCAGTACCAGTATGGACCTTATAGCACATACGCTAACGCTCGCCCCTACTCTTTGCCTTCTTACCAATATGGACTCTATGGACCTCAGAACTTACCATACAAATCAACTGTTGGCAGCTACGTTCCTTTCCAATTCCAAGGAAACTATCCTTATGTTTACTAGAATGTGCAGCTTTTTCAACTGGTAAGTGTCTATTGGTTTATAGAAATTATATAGTTGATTAAGTATGTAGAAAATGTATTTGCTTGATTTAGTTGTTAGTCATTTATATTTCTTTTGCAGCTGTTTGATCGACTTCACCTCAAATTGGAACATTAAGTGAACATATGGATATTACCTTTTGTATTCATGAACTGTAGTTAGTAGTCCTAAGTTGATGAATTTCAATAAAAAATATTTTGGTTGCAAACATAGAGAAACTTATTTTATTTCATTTTAATTAAGTGAAAAACTCTTTTAGGTCCTTAAACTATAATTATGTAGAGTGAATATTACTTATGCATGTAATACATACTTAATTCTAATCGCAGAAATGTTCCGCCTACATAGAGTTCCATCCAGAGTTTATTGCGGCAGTAATTTAGTATTTTTTTACAAACTTCTTTTTGGGTATTTCGTCTCAAAAATTTTTGTCTTTAAAAAAAGACGCAATTTCCTCACGTCTTTTATTACAGATTGATAAATAGTGCTCCTATTTCGCAATAAGAACGAATTATTTATCAAAAAGTAATCAA